CTATTATTCTCAATGTAGTTGCAAATGATGTGTTTTCTGTATGAGTAGCTGTTTATGTTGCAATATAGGAGATTAATTATTTTGGACGTTTATGTGCTGGATATTATTGTTTACTGGTTTTGTTGGAGAGATGGGGCCTTCAGATCCAAGATCGAAGATAAGTATGTAAACACGGTGACCGGAAAAGACAGCTGTGGAATTTACATTGAAATTGTTTACAAATCTGTTTCTCAATTTTTGAATTAGTTCCTGTCTATTGGTGTATATTGGGTTGTTTAAAAAGTTTTTAAAAATTTTTTTTGAACAGTTATACAGACAATCATAATGATTGACAAAATATTATTTTATTTTATCAATATTGATTTAGAATATACTTCTGTTATATATAGTGCTATTTGAAATTTGAAAAAAAATAAAAATTTGTTCAGTTCATTGACATATGAGTTGATGATAAAGTCATGAACTGTTAGGGCTTGGTGAAATCTGCAGTTTTTCTTCTCTTCTGGTATTTCATGATATTTTTTGTCAATAGATTTAATTTGTATATTAGGTACACCTGGAATCAGCACAATAGGTCTCATCGGGCATTTAAATGTTCACGCCTGATGTTCCTCGGAAACACATCTTGTACATTTTGGTGGTAAGGAGGAGGTAAACTGGTTCTCTGGATGTAAACCCTGGCATTAGGGACATTTTGGTTGGGTGTTATAGGTTTTTGTTGAATTAGAGAAGGAAAAGCATTTGTTGCAAGATTTTGGAGTTGGAGGGGGAGGTTTACTTGCATAAACTGGATAGTACCGAAATTTGTAGTAGAATCCATCTTTCAGTAGGGTTTCAAATGTAGTGAGTGATCCACTGATATTCTTATAAGTGATATTGGTAATCCTGTTTGTCTGGAGATGATTCTTCTGCAAAATCTGAGCTCAAAGTCTTTGTTATTCAGATGGTTGCTTATATTTTCTTCACTAATTTCTCGTTCTATGCCACTTATACAATAGAGTAGCTTTCTGTTTGTGAGGCTGATTTGGGGACTGTAAAATTAGGGTGAGTTTCTCTGAAATTGCTTATCTTCTTGAATAATACAAGTCTTTCCAGGGCATCTGTAACTCTCTTCAAATCATTGTTTGTTTTGAGTATGAATCCTTTCTGTGACCTGAGGAAATAGTTTTTCCCACATGTTACAGAATGCTATTCTGGAATACCCTGTATCTGCAGCTAGAAAGAAAGTTTGCTGGTGTTGTTTATGGGTAATTTTTGTCATTAATGGTAACGGTAATAAATATAAAGAAGGAAAAAAACGAGTCAATTAAATTAGTTACAGATAGAACTATCGCTGACCCTCAAGAGGTGGCAAATATGTTCAACAGTTATTTTACTAGCATAGGTCAATCAATTATTTCCAATATAGATATTAATATAGAAAGTGTAGATTTTGAGGAACTATCTTGTGGCAACTCAGTATTCCTAAAGGAAACTAATGCTAAAGAGGTATCTGAAGTCATAGTTGCACTCAATAAAAACTCTGCAGCAGGGCACGACAACATATTCGTTAAAGATATAATATTAATTGAAAAAAATGTCATTTCCATACTCGTTAATTTGATAAACGATATTTTCAAAGAGGGGATATTTCCTGAGATACTGAAGACTGGAAAAGTAATACCAATATTTAAAGGTGGTGATAACAAAAATTTGGAAAATTATAGACCTATAACAATTGTGTGCTCATTCTCTAAGCCAAAGCTGTACATTCTGTATCACTAGACCTTTTGTAAACAGAATTTTGTAAGCTTGGAGGTATAGATCCATAATGAACATAAACTGTTATTGAAATTTGCAATTCTTGGAAACAATGCCGAATTAATGTCCTTGACCGTCATCAACATTTCCATGTATTGCTTCTTTATTAATCTTCATTACCAATTATTATCATCCAGTCTCTGTGAAATTTTCAATTACGCTCTTCATAGTTGAAGCAAAATCGATATATTTTCCTTCTTATTATTTTAGTATGTGTCCACAATAAATTTCCATCTATAATGAGACCAAGAAATTTCACACTATAAAAATAGGAGAGTATTTAATATTTTCATTATAGAATTTAATTGGATATTTTTAATCATTTGATTTGAAAATATATGAAGAGTTCTGAAAAACTGACATTTTATGACATTTAAGCCATAATAATATTTGATTGAGGTCCTTTGAAGTATTAATTTTTATTTCTTCTATGCTCTTTCCATTGTAAATTAAAATGGCGGTAAATATTTGTAATTTAGAAGTTCTGAAGTTGAATTGATGGGACAATTAAAATGGCATATTTTTCAATTTTTTTTCCTTAAACTTTTGTGATGAGGGCACATTTTGATGTAATTTTGACATAAACCGTTTCAAAACTACTTGAATCCAGTGGTGGTCAGATTTTTTCACAAAAAATCACTAAGACTTGTTCATGAAATTTGGTGTTCCAGTAGACTTCTAGAAACTGCCTTATTGAAATGAAAATCCAATCTGCTGAAAAATATGTTTATAAGGGTGCTTCCATTTTAAATAGATCACATTGTATGAATGAATAAAATGTTGATTAATAATCCTTTTGTTTTGTCCAGGGTGTAGGATAAAAGTTCACAAAGACCATTTGGAAAAGAAGGAGGACACCGTGCCGCCATGTAAATTACACTACGACCCTTTATATGCCAAAGAATTGCTGTTGCTGGCTTCGTCACATGATGACCAAAAACAGTGGGTGTCGAGATTGAGCAGAAAAATTCAGAAGTGCGGGTTCAAAGCCAACAATTCTAATGCCATAGATTCGGCCAAGGTATCACCTAGGTGAGTTTGGTCATGTTCCTTCTCATTGTTCCACTTATCTTTTCTCTTTCCTGCTGTTGAAGATGAGGCATGTTTTGTAATGCTCNAAAAATTTTATTTCAAATTCCATTTCGAACCCACACAAATGATTTATTCTCACAGACTGAACTACACCTAATTAAATATCTACTTAAACTTGAGCAATGCAAGAATATATATAAAATGAAAAACAAAAGAATCAAAAGCAACAAGGATCTACTAGTCAACAACCAGTTTTATGAGTATAATACAAGGGGTAGAAATGACTTATACCTGAGCATGGTAAGAAGGAACAAAGGATTATAAAATCCTTTTACACAGTCTATAGAAGTCTTCAATGAATTACCTGTCCATATACGTGAGTTGCCGGGCTATAGTTCATTCATCAATAGTTTAAAAGAACATCTGAGCCTCAAGGCACATATCTGATAAGTTGATACTATGAGCTTTGTAGTGGTTTACTAGTTTTTGTGTTTCACTTGTCATGTTGAATGTTTGTGAATCCCGAGACCAGCATTTTTGCTGCTTAGGGAGAATAACAACATATTTTATATTTATAGTGCCTGAACTGTACGCTGTTGTTATATTTTTAATAAAAAAAAGAATGTTTTGTATTGTTGGTTTTTTGGATTGGAATGAATTCTATTACATGTTGTTTTTGTGGAAGTTGAGGAATTGGAATTAGTACAGTTTGGTGAACCCAAAATAATTTGTTGGTTTTTTTCTGGATTTAGGTGACTTCTTTTGAAGGCACTTTCCAGACGTCTTCTTTGTTTTCGTTTATGCATCACTTTTCTCCATTGTCCATCATCCTGAAGTTCTATATAATCACATGTACTAACTAGCAGGAGCAAAATAGGTAAAATAAGTGTTTACTCTTTGGCTGATAAATGTGAACTGACCACCCTCAATTTTCACAAATTGTTTTCCAACACGTAGTTGGGTTTGATATTTCTATGAATGTAATGATGAAATATTTTTTCGCCGTTTAGTTTCAGCTGAGTGAAGAAATTGCATCGAAACAACGCCTTCAGATGGAACTCGATAGCAAAGATGCTGACCTGGAGCAATTGCAGCTGAAGCTTTCATCAATGAATAGTGAAACAGCCTCACTGAGTTCGGCGGACAATGAAGGTGATGAAATTGACAATAATGCTGTGTTTGAGGGGTGGCTTTCAATACCATCCAAACAAAATATTAGACGACATGGGTGGAAAAAGCAGTATGTCGTGGTTAGCAGTAGGAAGATAATATTTTATAATTCTGACAACGATAAACAGAATTCGGATCCTGTGATTGTATTAGATCTTAGGTGAGTTTCCTTAGTTTATTTGGTTTTTCAAAGTTGGTTCTGTTTTTTTTTTTTTTTTCGATACTGAATAAATTGATCAAAATTCTGTCACTAACTGAAACTCTTCAAGGAGGATATCTATGTTAGAGCTATAGAGAACATTTTTTGCCTACTTCAAGTTTTCAGAAACAACAACAACATTTAAGTTTTTTCTTGAATAGATCATTTAACATCAAATTTCTCGATAACAAATGAATCAATTTTGAAAAAAATAACGGTGAAGAACTTTCAAATAATGTATCACTCGACCCTCCATACATTAAGAAAAATATTGGGGGAAACTACTGTCATCAAGGATGTGACATATGGATATGAATATCATATCAGAACTATTCTCTTCGAAACAAAAATTGATGTGTCGAATTTTTCATTAGAACACCGCATATTATATCAAACTTATGTTAGTTTATGAAACTAGAGTTTGAAAAACCAATCTTCATTAAATATGAGTTTTTACACAATAAACATGTATTCAATGAAGTTTTATGTTTGATTTCAACTTGAATATTTTTCATATTCAAGACAAAATGTTGGGGTTTTTGAATTAGAAAAATAATATTGTATCTTTGAAAAATTTGACAGATGATGGTTGACTTTAAAATGAGTTTTCAATGACTAGAAGTTCATGGATTTTTCATTGAAGGTGATACAATTTTATTGATTTTCCAGTAAGGTGTTCCATGTAAGGTCGGTCACACAGGGCGACGTTATCAGGGCTGATTCCAAAGACATCCCTCGTATATTTCAGCTTTTGTATGCTGGTGAAGGTGAGGCGAGAAAGACGGACGGTGAACAGGCCAATCCGCTGGATGTAAGCACAACCATGAGAAATTTCGAAGAAAAACCAGGTTTGATATTGCATAAGGGTCACGAATTCCTTAATATCTCTTATCATATGCCGACTACTTGTGAGGTGTGCCCTAAACCGCTTTGGAATATGTTCAGGCCTCCATCCGCGTTGGAGTGTAGAAGTAAGTATTCAAATCAAATCATATTTATTCATCCCCGAAGTCAATATAAGTGTATATAAAACACGTATCACATATCTTATTGAACTAATCATAACGGCCTTCGAGCTACAACATTGAAAATATGAAAAGAACCATTATCTGTTCATAAATGAAAGAACGATTTTACATCAAAAGAATATTAAAATAATAGTAAGGAAATAAAAAAGAATTTCACATAAAATGAACATACTTTTAATAACTAAATTCATGTAAAGAATAAAACTCATTTTCTTCTAAGTATTCGTGAAGGGCATTCCTGGAATAATTTAAATTTTACAATTGAAATTATTATACAATGGTTTTGTCAGCTATGGAGTATTGTACTTGCGTTTGATCATCAGCATATAAATAAAGTTCATATCAACAGCACAGAGAGAGTTCAAAATAAATTCTCAAATGAATTTCAGACTGGAAATATATCCCTACAATTATTCTCTATCTAAAACTGATCAGACACTCGATATCAACAAGTCATCATGGGAAAAATTAGCTTCACCGTTCAGAACAATTTTGCTCAAAACTCAGCATCCATTTTTTCATGTTCGATAATGCTTTCATGCTGCTCATGATCTTTTTTTTTATTCACAAGAAACTACAGGGAATGTATACAAGAAACATTCATACAATAAAATATAAATATATAACTTCAAAAGGACTTATTTCAGAATTGGTCTAATAAATAAATTTCCATCCATAATGAGACCAAGAAATTTCAGACTATAAAAATAGGAGAGTATTTAATATTTTCATTATAGAATTTAATTGGATCTTTTAAATCATTTGATTTGAAAATATATGAAGAGTTCTGAAAAACTGACATTTTATGACATTTAAGCCATAATAATATTTGATTGAGGTCCTTTGAAGTATTAATTTTTATTTCTTCTATGCTCTTTCCATTGTAAATTAAAATGGCGGTAAATATTTGTAATTTAGAAGTTCTGAAGTTGAATTGATGGGACAATTAAAATGGCATATTTTTCAATTTTTTTTTCCTTAAACTTTTGTGATGAGGGCACATTTTGATGTAATTTTGACATAAACCGTTTCAAAACTACTTGAATCCAGTGGTGGTCAGATTTTTTCACAAAAAATCACTAAGACTTGTTCATGAAATTTGGTGTTCCGGTAGACTTCTAGAAACTGCCTTATTAAAATGAAAATCCAATCTGCTGAAAAATATGTTTATAAGGGTGCTTCCATTTTAAATAGATCACATTGTATGAATGAATAAAATGTTGATTAATAATCCTTTTGTTTTGTCCAGGGTGTAGGATAAAAGTTCACAAAGACCATTTGGAAAAGAAGGAGGACACCGTGCCGCCATGTAAATTACACTACGACCCTTTATATGCCAAAGAATTGCTGTTGCTGGCTTCGTCACATGATGACCAAAAACAGTGGGTGTCGAGATTGAGCAGAAAAATTCAGAAGTGCGGGTTCAAAGCCAACAATTCTAATGCCATAGATTCGGCCAAGGTATCACCTAGGTGAGTTTGGTCATGTTCCTTCTCATTGTTCCACTTATCTTTTCTCTTTCCTGCTGTTGAAGATGAGGCATGTTTTGTAATGCTCAATGCTTGGCAGTTGAGGATGAAACGGCTTATAAATTAGATGATGCTTGGAAATTTTGAAAATACTACAGTACTCAAAATAGACAGTAATCCTCAGGAGTGCAAACTCAGCCAATTATTATCTCCTAATTAAATAAGAATTTTGAATTGATTAATGAAGTTAACAATTAGGGTTTGTTTTTTATTTGTTCTGAATAATGAGTATCCTTCAAATGATTGTATTGTTTGGGTGTATGTACACTTAATTTTTTTTAAGAGGATTAACAAGTTGCAAATAGTAATATTCTCAAAAAAGTAAAAACATAACAAGATCTTAGTGTGAGAACGTTTGTAAGGAAAATTTTCATTTAAAATTAATAATTTCTAGTAAAAATTATATATTCTGATCAATATACCGAAAAACATATGCACAAGGTTTCCGTCAGTTTGAATGGCAAACTTTTGAAACAACTGACACTTGTCTTTCAGAATTGTGTACTCTTAGTAAGTTCTGGCCATGAGAACTTTTGTTCACCATTTTGCTGAAGCACATTTTTCCAGAGTTTCATCAAATTCAACTTGGAGCCATTTCCTATAAGTTTAGTTCAGAGTCGTTGATAATATCATTTTGGCAGCTCTTCAAGTGATAGTCTTTTCCTTTGAAAGTCTTATAGTGTTTAATCGGACCTTCAAAAACACCACAAAATAAGAATGTTTCAATTCGAAGAGTCTTAATTTTAAATAACAGGCTTTTCTTCCAACTATTTCTTTTGAGCAGAATGGGTTTTTATCAGTAAATAACCTCCTATATTTGATGGATGACACAAATAACTTTAACATTTCCTCCTCAACTCTCTGGAGTACTGTAGTTTTTCTCGCTTGGTTGCTGCAAGTAGACATAGAAGGAAATTTAATTTTTATATAAAAGAAGTGAGATGCTCTAGTACAATTTGTGATTTTATATAAATGAAATGTAAATATTCAGCATTTATATATATATTTTTAATATTACTATTTTGGTATTGATTCTATCATATTTACTGTAAGTTTTAAAATTTTATCTGAATCTTCGAAAGTTTCTGGTATTTTCTTGAATATAGTTTTTGAAAATGTATATAGATATAGGGGTATATAGCATGCCCAAGCTTCATAACTAATATTCTTGATGCCTATTTATTATTGTATTTTTTGTTGCAATAACATTTCCAATAAATTTTGAAAACTTCAGGTTTCTTATGTGTGTTTTTTTATTCATTCCTTTGAAATATTTTTTCTCAAACAATTTATAATCACTTTTATTAAGAAAAATTCTGAAAAATCTTCCATGTTTTACTGAAACACTCTCGACGCGGCAGCAGTAACACCAAAGTATTTCTCTTCGGTTTAATAGAAATTCATTTTTTGTAGTAATAGGTGAAAGAGGCATAGATTTTATTCAACCCTTTTTTAAGACAATTTTGACTGAGTAGTAAAGAGACTCATTCTCATCAAAGTATAATGTTTCACATAGACATAATTTTACACAAGAATAGTGAATTGACCGTTGATATCTTTTGTATATTTATCAGGCCTTATTTGGGATGTTTTCAATGTAATGATAATAATGAAAATATAGGTTTCACAAGAATCAAGATCTTATAACAGGGAACATTTTCAACAACTTCAATTCGTAATTTTCTGAGTTTTGAAGATATAAGAATATTGATCACAGTAATTTATTAAGATGAATAGTCGTATTGTGAAAAACGTATATATCAGTATTGCCGACAAGCATTAGAACGAAAGCTAAAATAATGTCAGCAAATGGCGATTCTAATGCCGCTGTTCACAGTTGGAAGGACTTGTTGCAAGATTGGGTACGTCGAATATGGAAAATGTAATTATTTCGAGTGGGCGAAATTTCAGTTTTTATATCCAGTGCATGATGAACATATTTATTTCTGTGATTGAAAATTTTCATCAAACCCCTTCTACAAGCAGGAACAAATTCAACTAGGAGAAAGACTTGATACCTTTCCATATCATGTCAGACTTTGCAAAGGTGGTTGGATATTTTAATGGGGATGAGGATATTCCCAAAGCTGAGAAATGGATTGATAGTATTGAAATGAGTGCTGGGGTTGTTTATAGACTTCAAACCTCTACAGCTTATCTACATTTTGGTTTGTTGCCAGAACGTGACTTGGGATGACTACAAGGTGCAGTTTTTCCATACTTTTCAAAAGGTAAAAGTTTTACACAGAAATGGAACCGAATGTATTCAAGAAAACATGCAAAATATGGAACAATCTTGTCTTATATTTATGAGAAGTAAGACTTGTGCAACAAACTGAATCTGAATCAGTATATCTATTAATTGGTCATAACTTCTGTGAATTGAATGATATATCATATGTGAGCAAGAGTAACAAACTGGTGTTTGGCCAAGTGGATGAACAACTTTTCAATGTCATTTATTGGTGAATATCAAAGAGTCATCGACTGAAGTCCTTCAGCAAGTGTACAATTTTTAAATATTTACAGTGATTTTTACATATGCTTACATAATAGATTTGAGGTACATTATATTTCTGAAAAAAAAGTTTTATAAATTATGAGAGTGATTTGATATTTTCCCAAATAGTTTTTTCCGGGTATTTGAATTTTGATGGTTGTCCTTCAGTTCTTTCTCTGCACAATGCCTGTAGGGTCTCCAAGTTAGTTTCATTTTTGGCAAAGCGGTTTCCTAGGTCTGATAGTCTCTCCTTTATAGGTTTCACTTTTGTAGTTCTATAAAGTAGTGCGATTGAGGGATTGTGTAGTATGTTCTGAGGGTGACGCATTTTGGTAATACTCCTTAGTGCAGTTTTAGCTGTTTGGAGATTATTTAATGCCAGATTATGACAACTTGAATAAATTACATGTGCATATTCGAGAAATGGACGACAGATCATTTTATATATTTTAGTTGCAGTTTTAGTGTTGATTTTTTTTTTAAATGTGAGACCCCGAAAGTGTTTTCTACTGATGCATTTTTTTATCATTTTTGTATGACTGTTCAAGTTGATTTTGTGGTCAATGTTAACTCCTAAGTATTTTACTGATTGTCTGCTCGTTACCATTTCGTTGTTGATGTTTATTGTTGGTAGCGTCTCTGAAGGGTTCAAATCAAATCAAAATATACTTTATTGTCCGAAGATTTGCATCTTATTGTCCAAGAAATACAATATTAATATAGAAAAAGTTTTTAAAAAGAATAAATGTAGTTCCAAAAATGTATAAATATTCTGATGAAAAATGATAAATTGTGATTTTTCCGGGTTTGGTCTAAATCTTCGTTTATTGAACCAGAGTGTTGTCCTGTTGACGAGATTTTGCAATTCCTCTATTGTGGGTGCTAGCTTGCCATTGTGTGAAACTAAGGCAGTGTCATCTGCATACTGTAAGATGTAAAGGTTTTCATTAAATTTATTCTTGTCTTCCAAGCTGTAATTGTATAAATCATGGCACTATATATTATAGAGAATTGGAGATAACAGAGAGCCTTGTGGAACTCTTTGTTGGGGAGAATGAATTTCTGACTCTGACGATGAGGGTTCTGTTCTCAAAATATTGTTTTATTATACAGAGAAGATTGATAGGGGTGTTCAATTCGTGAAGTTTATATAACACTCCTTCATACCAAACGCTATCAAAAGCTTTATTGGTATCCAACTTATACCTATATTTTGTAATGATACAACTAGTAGTAATGTAAATAAGTTTGAACAAAACCTGAATTGATCTCGAAATTAATTCACGAGATTGAACTGCTCCATTCTACTACTGAATGCAACGTTGCTATATACATTACACGCCCTCTTTTTACAAAAAAGTATATAGATTTGCAAACAAAGTTTTACATCTGATATAGGTAGCAATCTTTTTTTTTTCAAGAATTTTTTGAATATTTACTGAAATGAATGGTTTCAAAATTTAAAACCTGTCAAGAGGAAGACTCCTCTGATCACTTTTTATTATGACCACATTTTGTTCTCTATCATTTCTTGTAGAACATTTGGACAAATGTTTTTTCTGATATTCTTGAAGATCGATAGATACATTTGAAAAAATCTCAGGTGTGAGCAAAGGTCGCAGATGTTGTCTATGTGGAGAATAAATTCCATTATCCGCTTCAACAATGTAGTCGTTTGACTTGCATTTGGAGAGTACTTCTACAAGACTCCATATTTTTCCTTCCTGGAGCAAGATAGGATTCCCAACTTCAAGTTCTGATAGCCTTTTGGTTGACCTACAGAATAATTTATTTTACTTATTTTATTTATTTGATTTTGTCTTAATGTACAGTGTGACACACTTAAGATGAAGACACCACTGTATTTTAGTTATTTTTGAAAGCATAGATTAGTATTTTGGGACAGCCGTACACCTTCGCAAATTGATCGACAGAAATTGTCAAGTTTCGAAATCTGTTCTTCTTTGCTTTTGCACAACCAAAACGATCCTTTTTTGGATTGGATCTTCACGTGTGATGAAAAGTGAATCCTCTATGATAACAGGAGACATTCCGGGCATTGGCCACCCACGCACTTCACAAAAGCGAAACCTCACCAAAAAAAGCCCAAGGGGACTGTATGGTGGTCAACGGGCTGGTGTGATTGTGAGGAAATCAACACTGGTCAACAGAAGAGGTCCGACCCTGCTCCACCACAACGCCCGTCCACACGTTTCACAAATCACCGTCGGAAAATTAACGAATTGAGCATCAAAACTCTGGCTCACCCACTATACACCTCAGACCTCTCGCCAATCGACTACCATATTTTCAAGCGCTTCGATAACTTTCTCACCCGCAGAACCGTCGCCAATTAGGATCAGGCATAAACGACCTTCGTCAACTTCATCGAATCCCGAGCATACACTTTTATACTGATGGAATTGATCGACTTGTGTTACGT